CACGTTCGCGGGCGCATTGGCGTTGACCCCCTCGTGCGGATGTCCTGTCCTGTCATGTCATTTCCCTCCTCCGTTCAAGCCCCGTGGAGGTCGCGCCTCGCGTGCCAGGGCGTGGAGCCATTTGATAGGTGTCAGGGGCAACAAGCACACCTGGCCACGCACTCACCGAGGCCGCTCCCCGAGTTCAACTGGGCCCTCTCCCCCCCTTGCCGCTGTGGGGCCATGGGCAGCAGATTCGAGCGTGTTCCCGCGGCAGGAAATGACGAGCTGATGCCGCTGGCACCAGCAGGTCGACGGCGCCACAGGGACGGAGGCGATGCTGCAGGCAACGCGCAACAGCAGAAACCCCAGAACCGCGGCAACCAGCAATCAACCGCGCGGTGTCGCAGGAGGGGCCTGGTGGCGTGGACAAGAGGGACGTGGAGCAGCTGCGCGCTTGTCTCCGAATGGTGCTCAACCTCGCCGTGAACCAGGCAGGTGGAGGCCGCGACGCTCGTGGCGATGATTATCGGTGCCAAAAGCTTGCCCGTCGTGCAGGCGCGGGGTCGCGCGACGGCGGGGGTTGAACGTGCGCGGGAACTACGGACGCGCAACGAGGAAGAGGATATCGAGGCGAAGCTGGACACCATCAGCAGTGCTGCCACGGTCGGCGTCGCCGACGGCTGCGAGGCGGCAGGCGCCGCGTGCGGCCAGCAAAAACGCGCGGGACCTCGCGGCGCTGAAGAAGAAGAGGCTTGGGAAGACGCCTCCGCGAGAAACAGCCGAGATGCTCACGCCAGTGAGTGTGGCGCCTGCGTTCGAGGAGGCGGAGGCGAAGATCGCGATCGCGCCTCTGCCCGAGCTCAAACCACTGTGCGCCTGCTTGGAGCAGCTCGGTGGTGCGAAGGTGTGGATCGTCCCCATGCGTCGCTCGGGGAGGGTTCTCATCGCGTGCCTGGACGACGGGCTGTGACTGCAAAGAGGTGTCGAGAGCGAACCTGGCGGACGGCGAGGCGCTGATGCGGGGAACTCGTGCGATGACACGCGCGTGAACTGCCAGCAGAAGAGTGTTAGCCGAGGCGCTCCTGAAAGGCACGCTGCCGCCCCTCTCTCCTTTCCGTGCCCCCCGTCCTCGAAGCCCCCCATCGGAGCGCTGAAAGCAGCAGCCAGCGCCCCCGACACTTCCCGAACACATCCAGGGACATCTCGGAATATGGAGTGGGGGGGGGGCGTCGAGTAATTCGATCTCAATTGTTGGAGCCCCCCCTTGCGAAGCGGCCCAGGGCACAAGAGTAGACGGATGGAGCACTGGCGCGAAGGTCGGGCCCGTGCCCCCCTTTGCTACTGTTGTGCTGCGCTTCGCCCGTGGACTCCCCCCTCTCCTTCCTTCTGGCTCGTCGCGGGCTCCTCGCTGTGCGACTGGGTGGGCTGGACGCCCACACTCTCGGCTACAGGCCGTTCCCAGGCTGACTTCAGATCAGTTTCGAAGACACGCGCACCCAGGAGTCAGTCGTGGTAGTCCTCCGCCTCAGACTCCTCCTCCTCCTCCTCCTCCTCCTCCTCCTCCTCCTCGTCCTCCTCGTCCTCCTCTTCTTACTTTCGCCCTCTGCTACTGATGCTTTTCCTCCTCATCCTTCTTTTTCCCCCCCTTCCCTTCGCGTAGCCCCTCGTTCAGTTCTTTCCTCCTCCTCCTCCTCCTCCGCCTCCTCTTCCTGTTGACCGCCTCCTCCTCCTCCTCCTCCTCCTCCTCCTCCTCCTTTCCTTCTCCTTCCGCCCTCCCCTCGCCCTGCCCTTCCTCCTCTCCCTGTCCTCCTCCTCCTGTCTTTCCTTCTCCTCCTCCCTTTCCTCCTCCTCATCCTCTTCTTCCTCCCGTGCCATCCTGCTCCTGCCCATCCCCTGCCACTTCTCCCTCTCCCTCTCTCCCTCTTTCTGTTCCCTCTCTCTCTCTCTCTCTTACCACTCACTCTCTCTCCTCCCCCCCCTCACCCCCCACCCCCCCTCCTGCCCCTCCTCCCCCTCCCTGCCCCTCCTCTCCTCCTCTCCTCCGCTCCCCCCGCTGCCCCCCCCGACGCCTCCCCCCCCCGAGGACATGGAGAGCAGAGAGGCCGCCGGCGGCCGAGGCTAGCTAGCGCGTCCGCCTGTCGGCCCGCAGGCGCTCCCCCCCCCCGCGCGCTTTTCGTCGCGGGAGCACGCCGGGGGGGGAGTGCGGGGCGGGGAGGGCGAGGAGGAGAGGGAGAGGGAGAGAGGTGAAGAGAGAAAGAGAGAGAGGGAGAGAGAAAGAGAGAGAGGCCGAGGGGGGAGTGCGGGGCGGAGAGGGAGAGAGGTGAAGAGAGAAAGAGAAAGAGAGAGAGAGAGAACGAGAGAGAGAACGAGAGAGAGAGAGAGAGAGTAACTGTTTTCCGAGAGCAACCCAACTGGACACCTCGCGAGCCCACCGCAGAGCACTTCGTGAAGTGGCGGCCGACCTATACGCACTGTGAGCACCGCTTGGGTGCGCAGGCCACTCTGAAGAGGCTTGAGCCAGAGAGAGAGAGAGAGAGCGCGAGAGGTTGTGGGGTCCCCTCCTTGTTGGTCTTTGTTGCCCGCCATCGCTTTTCGTGCCGCGTTGCTCTCCGGCTGTCTCTCCCGCGTTGCCATTGGCCTGTGCTGGCGAGCAGGCGGGCCATGAGGCCCGCCAACTGACGCCTCGAGCTCTCGCTATCGCGGTTTGGTCCGGAAGAAGAGATCAACGATCAAGGAATGAAAGGGAGAGGAACGAGAGAGTGAATGGTGAAAAGAGAGAGAGAGAGAGAGAGAGAGACAGAGAGACAGAGAAACAGAGAAAGAGAGAGTTAGAGAGAGGAGAGAAGACAGAGTGTGGAATCAGAGAGGATGAGGAGTAGGATGACACCGGGGGATGAGGAGGATGATGGGGAGGAAGAAAGCGGTGATGATGATGCTGATGATGATGATGATGATGATGATGATGATGATGATGATGATGGGGATGGGGATGATGATGATGATGGGGATGGGGATGATGATGATGATGATGATGATGATGCTGATGATGATGATGATGATGATGATGATGATGATGATGATGATGATGATGTTGATAATGGGGGGAAGAGGAGGACGAGGAAGACGAGGAGGAGGAGGGGGACCAGTGTAAACCCAAGTCGCATCACCGATGTTGCAATAACCCTTCGCCTGCAGTTCCCTCTTCGCAGGTCCCATACACTGACTTCTTTCTCTGCGGGAGGTGCTCCGTTGGAAGACAAGCGTCTCAACATACCCAACCGTGCCAACACACCCTTTCTGGGACTTCGGCGCCACGAATCAATGTTACTGGTGCGTCCAGACGACCCAGCATCGTGCCAGAACGACGTCGTGGGACTTCAGCATCGCGAGGCAACGCGACTGCTGCGCGTTGGCAGTCCTACGCTGCGCCACGCCGCACTTTCTGGGACGTCAGCCAGCACGAATCTTCGACCCCGCGGCGCACCTGCAGCACGAATGTGCGCGGCGCTCGAGCGCGAGAGCCACCTGCTGGGAAGGACGTGCCCTCCATCCGCGAAGCTTCTGCGCGAGCTTTTTATCACGAGCGTGCGCGGCGCCCAGGCGCGAGCCACTCCATCCGTGGAGCTCTTGCAGACATTCGAGGCGAGTGTGCGCGGCGATGGGGGCGACGGCCGCAGGCTGGCCGCCACCCGCCCTCCTCCTCCTCCTCCTCCTCCTCCTCCTCCTCCTCCTCCTCCTCCCCCTCCCCCTCCCCCTCCCCCTCCCCCTCCCTCCCCCTCTCCTCCTCCTCCCTCCTCCCTCCTCTCCTCCTCCTCCTCCTCCTCCTCCTCCTCCTCCTCCTCCTCCTCCTGGCGAACCCCTCGGCCCGCCCTTCAACACGTCTCGGGTTGCGACTGGGAGGTGTCATCTTTAAAGGGTAAGGGATGGGGTAGGAGGATGCGGAGGAGGAGGAAGAAGACGAAGACGAGGAGGAGGATGAGGAGGAGGAGGATCAGGCGAACAAGGGATGATATTGATGACGGGAAGTGGGAGAAGGACTACTGATGATGCTGATGGTGGTGATGGTGGTGATTCCGATGATAATGACGATGGTGATGCTGATGATGGTGATGATGATGCTGCGACTGATGATGCTGCTGCTTCTGATCATATTTCTGATGATGCTGATTCGGCTCATGAGCATGATGGTGACGCTGATGATGACGATGGTGGTGACGATGATGATTATGGTGGTCGTGGTGGTGATGATGGTGCTCATGATGATGATGGTGCTGATGATGATGATGGTGCTGATGATGAGGATGGTGAGTGATGACGATGCTGCTGCTGATGATGATGATTCTGATGATGATGGTGATGATGAGGAGGAGAAGGAGGAACAGGAGGAACAGGAGGAAGACGAGGGGGAGGATCAGGACAGCGACAGCGAGGGGGGATGGGTCTCCAAGAGCACATTAGACGCCGAACCCATTCCTCTCTCCGGAGCGCAAGCGATCTCGCAGAAGGCAGGCGTGGCGCGCAAGATTCTCCGTGCCAGGGCGGGTGTGTGAGTGTGTGTGCTTCTGTACACCACGCAGGGAGAAGTGTGAAATGATAAAATTGAAGCTGCTCTTGCCGAGTGCCTCCGTGAAGCTTTGCCGTCTGGTACTGGTGCCGACTGCAGGCTGACGCAAGCGGCAGCAAGCGTCTCAAGAGACGAGAGGCGTCCACCCGTGTGCACCGCCTCTTGCGAAGCGCTCTGCTTAATGCTGGTGGAGGAGGATGGAGGCGTTGAGCTACGCTCATGTGGCCTCGCGCCCGAGGTGTCATCACACCCTTGTGGACCGCAGGGACTCCGCGCCGACCGCTGACGGTATTGGCTGCGCATGGAGCTGCGGGCGCTAGTGTGGAAGGACACCCTTGTTACACCAACAAGTTCATTCCTCCGCATCGCCCCATCCGTATGCAGAGTTTTCCTTTCTTGTGTGATGCTGTTGCGGTCCTGGGGACCCGCCGCTCCGTCCAGCAACTAGATTTCGACCACAGCTTCCAATCGGAAGTGCTCATGCCGCATCCTATCATCTATGACAACAAAAGAACCCCTAACCCCAATAACATGTGAAGACGTTGCGTAAGGGATGATACGTCTGAGCGGTTTGGTTTGACACATCCGCAGGACAAAAACCCTTATCCATAAGATTTTCGGCCCTCCTAGCTTAGGTTCCCTCCCAAAGGGATGGAGTTCCCTTCATTGCTGATCATCCTGGTTGAGGGATTGGGGTTTGACTTTTTGCCAAGTCTCGGCGGACCGGGTCTCTGGGCAGAAGGAGGGGCCTACCGACCATCACCACGAAATTCGGTCATTGCCTCGAACTGTGGGCAACGAGGGCCAGGAGGAGGAGGAGGAGGAGGAGGAGGACGAGGAGGCAGTGGGGGGCGGAGCGGGCCCAAGACGGCTCAAGATGGCTTCAAGCTTGGTACAATATTGCCCTCGACGGGTCAATCAAGCCCCCAATGGCGCTTCTTGGCCCAAGATGGTCACCAGCATGACCCCAAGGGGCTCCAATAGTTCCCCGAAGTTGGCCCAACGGCGAGGATTGGACTTGTTGGCGTGACGAAAGGTCAGCTGATGTGGTTCCCATTTGAAAGGGCAGATGCAGCGAAATCGCTCTTCGGCAGCTTTGACGGTAGACTGGCCTCATTCAGAGGCGCTGGCGATCTCCCTCTCCATTCTCCGTCCTTCTCCGTCCTCCGTCTTCCTCCGTGCTCCTCCGTCCTCTGTTCTCCTCCGTCCTCCCCCGTCCTCCTCCATCCTCCTCCGTCCTCCGTCCTCCGTTCTCCTACTCCTTTCCCTCCTCCTCCCTCCCTTGTTCTCTCTTTTCTCAAACTTATTATTTACATCCTTTTCCTTCCTCTTCTCCTCCCCTGCCTCATCGCCCTCCTGTCCGCCTCACGTTTTATATGGTCCTTGTTTCTGGTCCTTCGTTTTTCAATTGGACTTCTGCCGTGCAGTGTGCTCGGTTATAATCCCGCTCGTCGCTGACGCGTCGGATGCTGCATCTGCCTGTTCAAACTCTGAGGCCGTGCGGCTCCAGAAAACGCATCGGTGGCATTCATCGTGCGCAGGCCTACGGGTCTTACCCATCAGTCCTGCAGGGCGTTCTTCTGATTGTCCTCATCTTCTCGCCTCTGCCGTCTTTGTCATAGTCGTCCTCCTGATGCCGTCTCCTCCCTCCTCCCCCTCGTGCTCTACTCCCCGACCCTCCCAAGTCTTAACGCTGAGGTCATTCCGACTCACTGTTCGGCCCACCTGTGGCGATCTCTGCCTGTCTGCCCCTCTCCGCCAGCACCTCTGCGCTGATGCTTTTCATGCCCCTGCTGGTCTCCCCCTGCCGTCCTCCCAGGTCCTCATCCTCCTCTTCGCCTTTCCCCTCTGTCCCAGCGCTGGTCCACCGATCTGTGTCCTGGGCCAAAACGTCGTTGTCTAGCCAGTGCGGACCCAACGCCCCAGACATCTGACGCCGTGAAACATCGCCCAACGTAGTGAATGGAGTTTCCGACCCCATCTTCATGTTTTTTTTGAGCCAGATCGATCCGTAAAAGCGCCAGGGCCCAACTCCGGCTTAAACGCGCCCTCTATGATTGCTCTGCTGATGTCAGAGGCCGAGGCTTAGGAGAAGGATGAGTGGTGTCTCAGCGCCGATGCGTTCTGCGGTTGGCCGCGTTGGGGTCGCCTGGGTCCGGGCGCCGCCAGGAGCAGGACGAGGATGGCTAGGAGGAGGAGGACGGCTAGGAGGAGGAGGAGGAGGAGGAGGAGGAGGAGGAGGAGGAGGAGGAGGAGGAGGAGGAGGAGGAGGAGGAGGAGGAGGAGGAGGTGCGGCGGCGGCGGCGGAGTCCAAAGTCAGCCGGATTGGGGAGGAATGGCGGGGCGTCCCCCGCGTCAAGCTGCTCGGTGCCTCATGCCACGCGGGGCACCAGCGGCAGCCCTGCGCAGGCGCCGGGGGGGCGCCAGTGCACAGCCCGTGCCGAAGAGGATCCTCACCGGACTGGAGAGGAGGCGGGGCACGGGTGGAGTGACGGCGTGCCACCGGTGGCCCACCAGCAAGCAGCAACCACGCGGGAGAAGGAGGAGGGAGCAGGCGC